TCGTTGAGATCGAAATCACCAGCACAGAATTTCGTGAACCATAGTTGGCACGGACGTTCTTGTAGAGCGTTGTCACTGTAAACTTTATGCATGTAAAACAGTAATATATGGCAAAAATACACAGTTTGGTCTTCCATCTTCAACTTGTTGTAAAATCTCCAAAACTCAACCAAATCGCTCAATTTTTTTTTAGAATGAAGCTAGAACTGTCAGCTGTCAAATGACATGGCAATAACATAGATGCGAATGACTCTAGACTTCCAAAAATGAACTAGTGCCATCTGTTGCAAACACGCGTCATGACTTTTACGACAGCCCAATACAATAGGATTGGATACTGGGAGTTCTTTTCTGGGACTGGTGGCTTCAGCCCAGTTTGGTATGGTGTCTCAGGACAAGTAATAGTAGCTTTTCCTATATATGGTCTGGTATTTACAAACCTACTTTCTAATCTCCATCTTACTATCCTTGATGCTATCCAAAAATCAGTGAATTCCTGACATGTACTTAGTGATAAAGCCAGTTCAAAGTAATGTTCAAAATCCTTTTGATTCAGGATATTCTGTTTTGTGTAAAATATGTACCTTTTAATCAGTAGCTATAGAACGTCAGCTTCTGAAAGCAAGGTGATATTTGGGGGTTGTAAACAAGACACTTTATAGTGTCACAAGTCTTTCCCAGACTGAGAAAGAGGAATAAAGGGACTTTTTCACTTCTCTATTTAATGGGCCAGATAATATCTTATTATGGGGCAGTGAGGATAGAGGCTTTTTGACATTTAGTGGTATCTCTCTCCTTGCTGCTCAAGCAGAAGGCAGACACGATGAATACTACAAGAATATTATTAAGGCTGTTATTTTAATGAGTTAAAATTCCTCAAAAAGTTTGCATAGGTAATAATAACCTAGACAGAGCAGAGGATAAACAACTCTTCTGCCATTAAAACAAAACAAAACAAAACAAACCAGGGGCAGCCGGTTAGCTCAGTTGGATAGAGTGCAGGCTCACACTAAGGTTGCCGGTTCGATTCCCAAAGAGGCCACTGAGCTGTACCCTCCACAACTACATTGAAAGGACTACTTGACTTGGAGCTGATGGGTCCTGAAAACACACAGTGTTCCCCAATAAAATTTATTTAAAAAGAAAACAAACAAACAAACAACAACAAAAAACCCCAGGGCTTTTTGACCCTGAGTGAGCCTAAGGAGTGAGAGCAGTTTTCATCTCCATGTGAGATTTAGAATGAGTTAAGAAGGAAAAGTCAGATATCATGAGTTATATATCAAAGTGTGCTTTAAGATTATCAAGTGCCTCTACATTTTTTTTATTTGAAACTAATGATTGAGTAATGGTATTTAAGTTCAGTGGCTACAGTGATTTATTATTGATGAAAATTAAGGTATAAAAATAAAATAGGATTTTATTTTATTTATTCATTACCAATAAAAATTTTTTTTTCTTTAATCTGAGTCTTTTTTTTAAAAGATTTTTATTGGGGAATTGGGGCATGGGAACAGCGCTGGGGAATTGGGGGAAGGGGAACAGACAAGTTGCTGTCTTTTTGTTCTTCAGTCTAGTTGTGGACGTTGCTTCACTGGCCCAAGTTGGCACCATCACTGTGCTCTTCCCAGGCGAGGCAAATCAGTCACTGGCTTCTGGACGGCTGCTCACTGTGGCTGCTGGCCGCTCACACTGGCTGCTGGCTACACACGGTAGCCCATGGCAACCCACTGCAGCAGGGGCTGCAGCCTTCGCCGTCATGCGTGACTCACCGCAACCCAGATCTAGGTTGAGCTGTTGTTCAGCATCTTAGGTGTAGAGGGCAGTGTCACTGGCCCTCATATGAGGGATCCGAACCGGGGCCAGCTCTTAACCAACGTGCCATTCAGTCAGCCCACCAATCAAAATTTTATTTATTTACCAAGTAAAGAATGTGAATAGTTCACAGGAAGGGAAATTCAAATAGCCTTTAAACATATGAAAAGGTGCTCAACCTGACTCTTAATGAGAGAAATGCAAATTACAGTTACCATGAGATATCAGTATTCATCTGTCAGATTGGCAAAAGGTTTGACAGTACACTGTATCAGCTAAGGTATGGGGAAATACTTTTTTGGTGGGAATACAAACTAGTACAGTCTGTGAAGGGGGCATTTGAGTGATATCTATCAAAATTTTAAATTCACATACTCTGACAAAGCAAGTCCACATTTAAGAATTTATCCTACAGACATACTCACATATGAAGTGAATGCATGTGTAAAAAGCATATTCACTACAGTCATTGCTTGTAATAGCAAAAAAGATTATGAACAACCTTAATGCCCATCAGTAGGAAGACTGGCTAAGTCAATTATGCTATGTCCATGCAATGGAATACTATGTAGCCATTAAAAAGAGTGAGGAAGTTCTATGTTTTCTGATACGAGCCCATCTCCAAACTGCACTCAGTGAAAAATCAAATTGCACTCCTGTATGTTTAGTCTGCTATAATTATGTACGAATAATATCAGTTATATTAAATGTATATGCTAGTATGTGCATAGACTCTCTCTTTGGGAGGATACACAAAAACTACTTAACAGTGGTTGATTCTAGGGAGAGAAACTAGATGACTGAGTAGGAGAGACTTTTACTCTATACCACTTCTTTCCTTTTGAATGTTACTCCATGCACAAGTGTCATCTATACTAACATAACTCAATAATACTTTATTTTTGGGGGGCCGGCCGAGTGACGCGTTGGTTGAGAGCTGGCTTGGGACGCCAGAGGGCCCCGGTTCAGATCCCACATATGAGGGCCAGTGACACTGCCCTCTACAGCTAAGATGCTGAACAACAGCTCAACCTGGAGCTGGGTTGCTGTGAGTTGTCGGCGTCGGCGTAGGCTGCAGTCCCCTGCTGCAGTGGGTTGCCATGGGCTATCATGTGTAGCCAGCAGCCAGCATGAGTGGCCAGCAGCTGCCGTGAGCAGCCGTCCAGAAGCTGACGACTGATCTGCCTCACCCAGGAAGAGCGTAATGATGGTGCCAACTTGGGCCAGTGAAGCAATGTCCTCCACAACTAGACTGAAGAACAAAAGGACAGCAACTTGTCTGTTCCCCTTCCCCCGATTCCCCAGCACTGTTCCCATCCCCCTATTCCCCAAAAAAATCTTAAAGAAAAAAATACTTTATTTTTTAAGAGAAAAAAACAATAATATATGTAGACATTTGAAAAAGGGCTGTCATCTAATGTATGGGAAAATTATATTCTGTAGTTTTAAGTCACCTGGCAGCAGCATACACATTTTTTGTTTTTAATAGGCTTTATTTTTTAGAGCAGCTTTAGGTTTACAGTTAAATGGAGCAGGAAATACAGATATTGCCCATACTCTTCCTGTCCCCCACACATGCATAGCCTCCCCTATTATGAATATCCCCTAGCAGAGTGGGACATTTGTCACAATTGATGAACCTAGATCGACACATTATTAGCCAAAGTCCACAGTTTACGTAAGGGCTCATTCTTAGTGGTATATAGTCTATGGATTTTAACAAATGTATAGTAACATGTATGCCCTGTTATAGTATCATACAGAATAGTTTCTCTGCTCTACAAATCCTCTGTGTTCCACCAATTCATCCCTCCCTCTCACCCTTCAGTCTCTAGTAATCACTGATCTTTTTCCTGTCTCTAGAGTTTTGCCTTTTCCAGATGTCAATGTAGGATTCATGCAGTACGTAGCCTTTTCAGATTGGCTTCTTTCATTTAGCAATATGCATTTAAGCTTCCTCCACATATTTCATGGCTTGATAGCTTATTTCTTTTTGGTGCTGAATAATATTCCATTGTCTGGATGGACCACAGTTTATTTATCCATTCACCTACTGAAGGACATCTTGGTTGCTTCCAAGTTTTGGCAATTACGAATAAAGCTACTATAACATCCGAGAGCAGGTTCTCCTGTGGACACATTCTCAACTCATTTGGGTAGATACCAAGGAACATGATGCTGGATTGTATGGTATAAGAATATGTTCTTTTCTATAATTGCCAAACTGTCTTCCCTCCAAAGTGGCTGTACCATTTTCCATTTGTTGTCAGTGTTTCTGATTTGGGCCATTCTAACAGGTGTGCAGTAGTATGTCACTGTCATTTTAATTTGCACTTTTCTGGTGGCATAGGATGTGGAGCATCTTTTCATATGCTTACTTGCCATCTGTGTATCTTCTTTGGTGAGGTGTCCATTAAGATCTCTGGTCCATTTTTAAATCAAGTTGTTCGTTTTTTATTGGTGAGTTTTAAAGAATTCTTTGTTTATGTCAGGTAACAGTCCTTTATCAGATGTGTCTTTTGCAAATATTTTCTCCCAGTCTGTGGCTTACATAATTTTTTTAAAAAGAAGTGAGAAAGTCATTTTTAAAGATTGAATCAGAAATTCGAATGATCAGATGGCAACATTACTTTATTAATAAATGGATAAATCTTTATTACTTCCCCTTACAACTGATGCTCTGTTGTTAGCACAGCCATGAGTCTATTGTAGTTACTTTCCTTGAGCTCTTTACAGTAAAGAAATCTAACCAGCAATGGATGAGCACATGCAAATGCAGACTATAATGTTGTGATATTTAAACTGCCCTAAAATGAAAACTAATTTGTTTAATGGTTAAAAAGGTTTATTCTTCTGTAATTTGTAATCTCCCAGTTGCTTTGTGACAAGTGTCAGCAGTAAGTTTCCCAAGAAATGCATATTAAAACAAACGAATTAGAATAATTTACTATACCAGAGTAATGATTTCCATTTGAAGAACTAATCCTTTATCGCTTATGTAAATGTACCTCAGAAAGTAGCATACACTATCTTCTTTGTGTGTGCTCCTGACAGGTCTTATTCTACAGAGGGTGCCAAAAAAATGTATACACATTTTAAGAAAGGAAAAGAAACTGTATTAAAATTGTAATACTCAATATATACCGATAACAAAAGATGAATACAAGCCATGTGTATACATTTTTTTTGGCACCCCTGGTATATCACCCTATAAGCATTTAGTTTTCATGTATAAAATGAAGTACTGTGGATTTCCTCACTGTAAGTCCAAATGGTCCCATCCTGGGATGGAAGGGCTCCATCAGTTATCTAATACTACTGTCCTGTTCAATCTTGAACTTTGATACTGTTCTAATGGCACACTGAATGCTACCTTTGTAACATTCTCTCTTACGTCACTGTCCCCACCTGCTAGCTTCTTGAGGGGAGTGGCCCCATGGGTTTATCTTTCTACCCCTCAGAATATCTTGCTCCAACTCAGCAGATAGATCAAGCATGGATTTTTTTTTTTTTAAGGTAGAAGACAAAATCACTTTGGCAAAATTTAAATCCCTTTCAGTCTGCAGTGCATTCTGTGATAGACACCAGTGCTGCTTTTTCAAAAAGAGGAGAGATTCCAGATGGGGTGCTGGGCAAGTGAAATGGAGATCTATTTTTCAGAAGGGGCCAGGCAACAGATGGAAAAAGGCACACCCAGATCCCCCCTGCTATAAGGATAGACTCCAAGGCCCAACACTCAAGTACAACCTGGAAACATTTTGCCCAAGTCTTAAGTGACCATGTCTCATGCATTCTACTAATACACGACACCCCCACCCTATTCAAGCAGTAGGAGTTAAAGGGAGTAAAATGCCTTATACTTTTGTTTGTAATGAAAAACAACGGGGAGACAAGTCCTTCTTTACAAAACCTCACTTTATGGAACAGTGTTTGTAGCCAAACATGTTGCAATGGCATTTTTATCCTAAAGGTGATGGGCCCTTGGGTTAGAAATGCCACTTCCGGGATAGTGAGCATGGAGGAGGTTGGCAAGAGCTTCCCTCCAAAGCACATTTCTGATGTTGTTACTCAACTTCACCCTTTCTGTAGGTTTGAAATTTTTATAATGAAAAGTTAGGGGCAACAGGCAATTTCTCTCCCCAGGGAAGGTTACACCACTGGCATTTAGGACAGCATTCCCCCTCTTTCCTGGCTACAATTACAAGGATCTCTCGGTACCTCCGTGTGTGAAGAAAGATAAGTGTTTTGCCATCTTCTATTAATAGGGAGGGAGTCTGAGTCACACAAGGACTAAGAGATTTTCCTAGCCCCAGAAAGAAGAGGAATGAAACAAAGCATGAGATGATGAGTTCGTTATTTTAGGAACAGGACAATTGTGGTGTAGCATCATTTTCCTTGCAATTGCTTCCTAATCGGTTTTTCTGCCTCCAGTTTCTCTTTCCCCTCCAGTCGACTCACCCCTTTGTTCTCAGAAGCATATTCTGAAATCATGCCACACCCCTGTATAAATATCTTTGATGACATCTCACTGCCTAAAGAAAAATCCCAAACTCCTCAGCATGACATCCAAAGCCCACTGCTACCTGGCTTGAAACTACCTTTCCTATGTTCTTTGCCATTCTGCACCCTCCATACTGCTCCACTGCACTCCAGGTGTCACGTATGTCCACGCCTCCAAACCTTTGCTCGTGCGGGCTGTTTCTCTAGCTCACAGTGCCTTTCTTCTCCCATCTCCCTGGACTAGGGCAAAGGGAGAAATCTGCTTATCCACAGGGATCTAACTCTGGGATCCTTTCCAACACCCAAGGTCGATGAACCATTTCCTCCACTTATTCCTATAGCACTTCCTTGCTATTGCAATTACTGTACTGCATTTGTTTTGTTACATTCTAGTTACCTGTGCATGTGTCTAACCTGGCCATTCAGACGTGTTTTTTGTTACAGCAGGGCCTTATTCATTTCTATATGTCCCAGCAGTCATTGGAGTTCTAGATACAGAGTGGGTGCTCAATAAACACTTAATTCTGTTATCAAGAGAGACTTTCTTTCAGGCAGATGCATAGGCAGATCTGGGTACAGTTTCAAGCGTCCTGAAAAGAAATCAGAGTCTGTGCCAGTCCAAGAGTTGAGCTTACAGGGACAAACTGATTAGTTATATTTAATGCTGCATTTTCTGTTAGTTAGTTCTGATATTTATGGGTAAAGTGTACTATTAGATTCATCCTTCCAGGTACTCTTCAAGAAAACGTCTATACTTGACTAGAGCTGGAGGTTGAGGAACCTGGCTATCTGGAACATTGAGCTTCTCAAAGTGTGGCCCACCTGTATGAGCCACTGCTGGCTGTTGGACTCAAAGACAGTTGCCTGGGCCCCTCTCTAGACCTTCTGAATCAGGGTCCCTGAGCAGGAGGCAACGATGTAGACTAGTAGCAAGCAATCCCAGGTGTTTCCAAACATTTCATGCTGAGACTCACCAGTCTGGCTGGCAACCTCTCCCTAGGCAAGGGGAATAATGGGGGACAAGTGTTGTGAATCCTTCTAGGCCAATGGTTCTCAGCCCGTGTTACATATTATCATTCCCTGGGGAGTTCTTGAGACATGCCAATGCCTGAGGTCCATCTTACAAAATTTAAATCAGAATTACTGAAGATGGGACTTGGGCACCTATATTTTTCAGCTCTGCTTCTGAGCCAAGTTGGCTGTTGGACAAATGTCAGATTCTTTTGATAAAAATCAGAGGCCTCTAGAGGTTAGAGAGGCCCAGATTTAGGTTACACTCCTCACTGCACTCTACCTCACTCTCACTATAAAAATAAATCTCCTACCAAATTTAACTAGATGAAAAAAAATATGTTTTAGCAAGTAGGTGCAGTCATACAAACTGCGTCCTTCTCGCTAGCCTCAATTCTTTGATTAGCAGCACCCTGCACAAAAGGGCCATGCTGAAGCAAGGCAGCAGTGCTCCAAAATAAACACCAGCAGGTTTTGGAGTCTCACTAGGGGCAGGATCCAAGGTGAAGCCGGGAGTCAGAGGCTCTGTGCTGGAAGCTGGGTTACATACACAGGTGGGCTGGCTGCCTTCTGATCTCTTTCTTAGTCATGCAAGACCCACAGGTCCTGTCACACCTCCTCTAACCATCACATATCATAAGTGCCACCAATTTCAGCAACAGAAATAATTTTTTAACATCCTTTATGCTAAATTTAAAAAAAAACCCACAGGTCACCAAGTCAAGTCTAAGGTATTGATTCATATTTAAGAATGTCACAGCTCATTATCCACGTCTAAAGCATTAGAGTACTAGGGCAGTTATACTGTATGACTTAAAATGATCATATAGACAATATAACAAAAGGGATGAGAGAGCCCATCACAAAGGCTTCTGCCCTGGGAAGCTAGTTAAGGGAGGGTGCGGGGAGAGAGGAAACGGGAAGGGAGGCATGACCTAGTAAGGGTTGAGACTTTTGGGGTTTGGGTAAAGAGTCTAAAACTTCAGGTGGGCTGAGAAAAAACCTGCTGGAATTACTACAAAAGATGCACATTTGTCAGATATTTAATACAAATAACCTTGGACTCCTACTTGTGCAAAAATTACTATAGAAACTGTGCCAGGCAGGTGCTCTATTTACCTAAGTGGCCTCCAGCACAGCAGCCTTCACCCAGTAATGGAAGATTCCTTCCAGTCACAGGAGCGTGGCCCTCATACCCAGCTCTCACCCCCCTCTGCCTCTTCCCCGTTCTGAAAAAAACGCTCCTTGGGCACCAAGTCAGAAGAAAGAAGAACTTCTCTGGGGAAAGCCTTCTAAGATACAAGAGGCCTTAAATGCTTGAGTATATATTAATAAATGGGGGCTCCCATCAGCTACAGAGGACCCAGACCACTGAGAGGATGATAACATCACTGAGGCCACTAGACTTCCACATCCCTTTTAGCAAATCCTCAGCTGACAGGAATGGCCATGAGCCGGCAGTGACGGAGGGAAGACAATACCTGCTGCTTCAGCAGGTGGGTCCTAGACTGCTGGGAAGGCCTTCCTAAGTATTCAGCGTTCCCAATGTCCCTGGTCTCTCTCTGCACATGGAGAAATGGTGATTTCCGGGATGCTTACATCAGCAACTAAGAGAGGTGGTAAAGCAATCTACTGTGTTCTTTAAGTTGTTTTTTTTGTTTGTTTCATAATCTTATATGGTCTGTTTTTCTATTCCTGAGAACAAAACTGACCCTGTAGTGTTTTCCATTATATAATCCCTTTTCAGCAAGGTCAATAAACATTTATTAAGAGGTAGGTGTGTGTGTGTGTGTGTGTGTGTGTGTGTGTGTGTGTGTGTGTGTAACAATAAAAACAGGCAACTCTCAATGAATTATTGTTTCAAGACTGTTCCTCCTTATAAACATGTTGTTTATTACAATAGCCCTGTGATATGTTATCCCGGTTTTACAGGTGAGGAAACTGAAGCATAGGGAGATTAGGCAAGTTCCTGCAGAATCAAAGGGCTAGAATGGGTTAGAATCCAGGTTGGTCTGACTGTAGAACTCCCCGATTTGACCAGCAAGTTAAAATGTAACAAAGTATGCAGAAGCTGCCATTTTATAACAGGCGGAATTCACAGCAGGCTGCATGCAGCCGTGCTTTAGGTAGGGCCACTCTTATTGAGTAGGGAGCAGAATGTACTAGAGACACTTCAAAGGGACTGAGATGTGAGTTTGAGTTCCAGTGTAATTACCTGCCTTTTGAGCCCGGCCTTCCTCACTATAAAACTGTGGTAATGGTATATCTGCTTTGCAGTTATCATGGTAGTTAGATTGAACACAAGCAAAGCTTGGTGTAGAATAGGTTGTAGCCATTGTCTTGCTATTTTCATCATATACCCAAACGTAACTTTGGGGATGAACCTATCAAACGGCCTAAAGCAGTCCTGCTTAGACTGGAGTTTGAAGGCCCCTGGGTTTCCACCCATATAGTCCTGAATCTGTGAGTTCTTAAGTTGGATAAACTGAACTAAAACATTCCTTGTATTGTGGACACACATAGTCATTTCTACTGATTGCTGAGGCAAAAAAGGGCTGGCAGGAAATCATACCTACTTAGAAAAATGATTAGTTCTTTTACACAACAGCTATCTGTACTGCTCACACCTGAGTAAATAAAGAAACACAAGATGGGGAGAAAAGTCACCAGAGGGAACAGTCCACACAAGGAGATACAAGGCAGATATTCTGCATGTAGCTGCAGCATGGCGAATGCCCAGGATACTGCACACATGCTGCTTCAAGACAGGACCCAGGGAAGTTTCTGGAAACATGAATACATACAGTCCCTCACCTCCCTGGAAGGCAACGTAAGCCTCATTTCCCACTAAGGACCATCCCTGGGGCTTTGGAAATAGTACATTGGGAAGCAAGGTGCCGTAATACCTCCTCACCCCCTCCAATACAGGTTGGTGACCTGGGCTGTACTACAGAGATGCCAACTTCCTGAGGATTTCTTACATATACATATGCTTTTCATTTCCTTCTTCGTGGGGAAAAAAAAGTACAACAGGGAAGAGTCAATGAATGTTCTATCGCTGGAAGCTAAGGGACTAAAAGCATCTGAAACGAGAAATCACCATTGTTGCCTTTAAATGAATGTTCTTGCTGAAGACTTCAAAAGAACTTTCTAGATAAAGTCTCTGTGGGATCCTGAATGTAAATTAATGTGCATTCTATTCAGTGAGGGAAAACAGAAACTCAAGAAAGCGGATGAAGACCATGGTTTTTAAAAGGTTAGCCTGGTTGGGGCCAAGGTCAGAATTTCACAATAGTCCACATTTTCCTTTAGGTTGTTATTCTAGCAAGGTGCGAAAGTGCATGTGCATGTTTATAGGAAAACTCCAGCCACTTCCTAGATGTAACTGGATGTGTGACTTGGGCACTGCCGCAGGCCAGCGACCTGTTAGTTGCCATCTAACCTAGCCTGCCTTTTCCCCACTCCCACATTTGTGGGGAAATCGTTAATCTGTTCTCAATAAGATCCTGCAGCCCCTCACCCAGGGGCAAGCCATGTGGAGCTGCCACGTGAGATGCAGTCTGATAGCAACCCAGGATCTGCAGTCGTGGTTTTAATTTGGGGCTCACATTTGAAACTCCTTTTGGTTTTCTGTGTGCACAGCCTATCGGTGTGTAGAGCCCATGTTTCCTATTGCCCGTTCTTTGGGCCTATTGGGTTCCACAGCTCCTGCTGTTCAGACGTAACTTGCTGTCTTTTTGAGGCACCTGTCAGCATGAGTTTTGTGAGCCTCATATGCCGTTTAAGTCAGGCTATTTCAAACATATTTCTCAAATGCAGTTTAATTCCATTGAACCGTTTTTTTCTATTTGGCTGTTCTGGAAGGCACTGTTCCTGTGAGGGCCTCCCTGGGGCCTCTAAAAAGTGAATCTTGAATATGCCACAAAATTACATTTTAAGTCAGATCTTCCAGAACACTCTCTCCCTATTATTAGCTGAAAATTTGTTGAACTATTTTCACATAATATGTTTAATAAATGTCATTGTATTCATAGAGATTACTCCAAGATTAAATAAAGCTCATGCTAACCCTTTTAGGTCTCATACATCTCAAGGGTCCTCAAAGGCAGGAAAATTCCTACAAACTTGGAATGCTTCTCCAATAGCCAACCAAATATGTAAAACAGAAAGACTTACTTTCAAGCAGCTTCCTAGCGGGTAATCCCAGGGAAAACTCAAGCCCCAGTGCTCAGTGCATGCACACATATTCACACACAGGGAAATTAGGGCCTCTGAAATTGCTTCCTTGCACTTAAGACACATGCCCGTATAAATGATACCCTGAGCAGGGAACTGAGGCCTCCGGAAGTAAGGAAGCCTGTGATTCTTCCAGTGGCTAGAACTCTTCTAGTTTTTCCTAGGAGCCTAGGCGACAGGGCCAGGGTGAGATTCAAGACAACAGAGTGTCAGCTTTGTGCAGGACAAAAGCAGAGAGTCTTAAAAACACCTTCTTTTGAGTCCCTATATTGTGCCCTACACTTTGTGTGTGTCATCTCGACTGCCTCTCATCCTCACAGTCCTTTGAGGTAGGTAAAACTAATTCCAATTTTACACACTGCTGAATTTGTTTCCTTGCTTTATTTTTCTCCATAGCACTTTCGCTTCCTAATATCCTGTTTCATTATTTATTTTGTTTATTGTCTGTCCTCACCAGGAGGTAAGCTCTGGGAAGACAGGTATTCTTGTCTGTTTTATTCACTGCTGCTTTCTTGGAACCTACAATAAGTGAGTGGGTGAATGAATGCATGAATGGAGGCACAGAGAGGCTATGACTGTCCTCTGCCAGGCTGCAACTGAGTGAGGGACAGGGCTGAGACCCGAATCCAGGCCCATGTGCTATGCTGACATACTAGGTAAGTAACGGTAGTTGTGAGGACCCAAGGAAAGATATGCAGCATTTATTGAATGGTTAATAATGAAGAGGTGCGTGCAAAGAAAACGACCAGGTGTAAAATGAACAGGAAAATAAGCCCAACTTTTGATCCTTGATATCTGTGAGGAGCGTGCAACAGAACAGGTGAAGCTGGTGGTCAAAACTCAAAATGCAGACCTACCTTACCCCTTCAAATTCTGGCAGGGAACAGCATAGGGTGGTATGGTCTCTTCAACACCCTGTAATATGTACACGTGGTTAATCTTTAAAAGGTCTGGCTTCAAATCCTGACCCCACCGTTTGCTACTATGTGACCTCAGGCAAATTCCTTAATCTCTGTGAACGGGGATAATTTACATGGGTTTTCTGAAGACTGACCAACGTTATGCATGTGAACACAGCAATCAAGACCATGCCTACCACATAGTAAATGCCCAACATGTATTATTTCTATTAGATCAGTTTGGTGGGCTTGTAGAACAGGGTGTTTAAAAAAGGACCCGTTAGGGAGAGATTAGAAAGGTAACTGGATACTTTGTTAACCTGTTAAAAGATTTTGACTCTGGTTTGTAACAGCACCTGTTTTGCTTGGCAGCTGAATTGGGATGGATTCAACTGCTTAGGGCAGCTCCTCAGAGGGCTTCTCTGGGGTAGCGAGTTCCAGGTGAGCTGTTAGGCAGCCTTCAAAGGGCGTCTTTGGGATGGAAAGGACTCAGGCCATTGTGCAGGTTCCGAATTCGGAACGATAAAAATAGTACCAACAGCTAATAGCACACCAACACCATGCTAGGGGATTCCACTTTACCCATGCAATCATCGCAGACATTTTTATTATCTTCATTATGCAAACGTGGAAGACCGCACTTAATAACCGTTAGATGATTTAACCGAGGTCGAATGCTTAGGAAGCGATGGGCCACTATTTAAACCGGGGCCGCCCCACTGCACTCTTTACACCGCACCGTTTAGGACCGAGCTGTCAGAATGTCATTTTATAAAATGTGCCTAGGAGGAGCGACATTCCGTTGCGATAAGATTCAGAAGCACGGGTCAAACTAAATGTTTCGATCTTCAGGTTTGAGAAATGTTGGGATTATCCTCCCCAATTTATGCCCAGGTAACTGCACTTTTAAAATACTTAAGTAGAAACCAATTTTCCTCACTGCTTCTTCTGTGGGAGGTCCCGGGCTTCGCGCTCCTTGGTTCCGCAGCAGGTATCCTGCATCGCCCCTCCTCGCCTCCAGGTCCCAGTGACTGAAACGTCTTGGGATAGGAACGTCTGTAACAGGTGGGGGCGGATGGGAGGCGTCAACTACAGCGCAGGCCTCCTCCAGCTGGAACTGGATGATACCCAGTAAAATATGGCAATTTTGTTCCAAGGCATGCCCAAAAAAGGCGCGGGGATAGGAGCGCGGCAACCCCCACCTTCAAGCAACACGCTCCTCCTGGGGCGCCCGCCTGCAGCAGAGCTCCAAAATTGGCAACCTGGGCTTCGCAGCCGCCTTTTTTTAGCCTACATTCCCCAAACCAGGGAAAAGGCGGGTGACTAAAAATGCAAATTGGAGCGGGGGCGTCAGCCGGCAGGCCCGTGAGTGCGAGGAGTCTGGCTAAGGGAGACCCCGCGACCTCAGGTGCCCTCCGCTACATTCGCGACGGGCGCGGAGCGCCGGGAGGGGCGCTGAGCAGCCGCTCCCCGCCGAGCCGCTGCCCCCGCTTCCGCCTGCCTGGACGCTGCAGGACAATGCGCGGCCTCTTTTCCGCTGGGGGTTAGGGAGGGGAGGCCGGATTAGGGCCCGCGCCTTCCGGCCGCAACCTACCACCCCCCCCACCCCCACCCCCAGCGCCTCGCGGGCAGCACACAGGTGGTTTTCCGCTCGGGAGGGGCAGGCCCGGCACTTTTATATAACAATAGAGCTCTGCGCGCCGGGAACGCGCCTCCCGGTCGCCGAGGCCCCGGCCGGGCCACGCCCCCATCCGGCCCCCAGCCCACCCTCCCTGCGCCCCGGCGCCTCCGCGGAACGCTGCTCGCCGGCCTGGCCAGCACCTTCCGGATTACCTGCTGGCTCTGCTGAGCGACAGAAACGTCCCCCGGAACTCTGAGCTCTCCTTGGGAGCCAGGGAGTCCCAGCAGGCACTCCTTTCCCCTCACCCTCTCTGGGCCATTACGGAGCCCACAGTTTGCACTCGGGCCCCCCAACAGTCCGCGGGGTCGCCCAGCACCCACTGAGCGAGGATGCGGGGGCGGCGGGGTGCTGACAAAGAGTGCAAAGCGCAGGCGCCGCCGCTGCTCCGCGAGTGCCCGGCCACCCGCAGGGGAGGGGGCTGCGGCTCTGGCAGGGATGAGGGTTCCCGGCGCGGGTGGTGGGGTGGGAAAGGCTCCCCTCTGATATGCATGCCTCCCTGTCTACAGTAACCAATCCCCGAGCCCGCCTGATCCCTTCAGTCTGCAGGCCTTGCGGCAGGACTTCCCCATGCCTCTAGGATGGTGGGGACAGCCGGCCGGCTCCGCGAGATCCAATGCACCTCACCCAGGCAGCCCCGCCAGACGGGCTCCGCTGTCGGAAGTCGAACTAGCTGGCTAGAAATGATTAACGAGCGCGACCCCCACCCCCAGCGCACGGTGGGTGACGGCGCGGGTGGGGGTGGCTTGTATCTCCGGAACAATGGCTCCTAATGCCTCACGCCGCTCGAGGGGAATAAAAGCATCGGAGTTTGCTTCTGCAGTCCGCACTGTTTAAAAAAATAATGAAAACGCTATTTTTAAAACGTTTTTCCCTATTATCTGAACTACAGTCATTTGTTTGCTTGTATTAAAATGTTTCAACAAAATCCTGGTTTGTTTCGAAAGATGTTGAATTAGCATTTAACACCTCATCGGTCACTAAAGCCCAGACAGTCCGGCAGCCCCAACACAGCCTCGGCTAAAAGAACATCAGAGCAAACAGAGCTGGGCTTCTTAAACCGGCAAACAAATACCACACGGACCAAAGGAGGGCAGGAGCGGGGGGAGGGGGGAAGTCTGAGGCGAACTCCAGTCCAAACGAGTTTTAAAGGGGAAAAAAAGTCAGCACAAGTTTTACTAAAGCTAGCTTGCGAGCACAGGCGTCATGAGCCAGGGCTTTTGTGCCTGCTAATTGCACCATTTGTGCGCAAAAGTTCGGACGCGAAGTGTGAACTCTCAACAGAAGGAAACATGAGACAACTGAAGTGCCCTGGTTTATGTGCCCTGCTCCTCCGCCGCCGCCGCCTCCTCTTCTTTCTCCTTCCTCCCGCCGAGCCCGCTGTTGCAGCTTGTTTGCACTGGGGCTTATCCGGAGCGGAAATTCCTTTCCGTTTTTGTGAATGACAAACTCATTAACAATTCATCAACACAACCTGTTCCAGCCGGCCCGTCTCCACGGCAACAGCCCCTTCCGCAGCGCGCTCATTGGCTGGCCCGGAGAATGTATCCATTGAGACGCTCGCTGTTTGTATCCATTGAGGAGCTGCCTCGCGCAAGGGGTGTGCGAGAGCTGAGTCCAAGGGAGTGAGAGCAAACCGAGGCTTGAATAATCCTAGGAGAAACGCCTGGGTGGATTGTGGTGCAGCCTTGAAGGGAGGGATTAGAAGCCGCTGGACTTTTTTTTTTTCTTCCCCCTCCCTTCTCAGTAGCACTGAGTCCGAATTAATTGGATTTCATTCACTGGGGAGGAACAAAACTGTCCGGGGCAGCTTCATTCAGAGAGATTCATTGACACGGAGAGTGAGCGGCCGCAGCCGGGTCCAGAGCGAACCGCCGGCTTCACTTCTGTGTCGCCTTCCCCAACCGCTAACCCGGTTCGGGAAGGGCGAAGTGGAATTCAACCCCGCTCGGTTCGCGGCGGCTTCGCGCGGCGTGATCGGCCTATGCCTGCCCCGAGGGGCGTCTGCTAGGCACCCCGCTCTCTCTCGCAGCTGGACCCCCATGATAGATACGCTCAGACCCGTGCCCTTCGCGTCGGAAATGGCGATCAGCAAGACGGTGGCGTGGCTCAACGAGCAACTGGAGCTGGGCAACGAGAGGCTGCTGCTGATGGACTGCCGGCCGCAGGAGCTGTACGAGTCGTCGCACATCGAGTCAGCCATCAACGTGGCCATCCCGGGCATCATGTTGCGGCGCCTGCAGAAGGGCAACCTGCCCGTGCGCGCGCTCTTCACGAGCGGCGAAGACCGGGACCGCTTCACCCGGCGCTGCGGCACCGACACAGTGGTGCTCTATGACGAGAGTAGCAGCGATTGGAACGAGAACACGGGCGGCGAGTCGGTGCTTGGGCTGCTGCTCAAGAAGCTCAAGGATGAGGGCTGCCGGGCATTCTACCTGGAAGGTATGTGTCGGCTGGAGGGCAGAGCGGAAGGCGCGGGGCTGCGGGCTGCTGGCGGGACACGCGGACTGGAAGTGCCCTTGCTGCGCTTGGCTGGCGCTTCTGAGCTTTGCTGCTCTGCCAGGGGCGGCCCTCCGTTTCCCGGCTGCGAACCTCGCGTGCCAGGCACCCGCGACCCCGGCCGGCGCACAATGCACCCTCTTCCGGGCCGTAGGCACCAGCCGTTTTTTTCTAATTCTTTTTCTTCCCCAGAATGCCCTCTTATTTTTCCTGCTTTCTATCGTTCGATTTTGAATTAAGATTTGCAGGAGAGGAGAGGTGGTTGGGGTACAGATGGGCATGTCTTAGCTCCTCACAATATTCAGAAAAATTGCTATTTTGTCCCTTTCTGCATCCCAAAGAGTAAGGGTTCCTAGGAGAGGCGGGCCCGTTTGTTCTCTTCCCATAGGTGCACATTTAAGTTTTTTAATATATCTGGCTTTGTGTATAGGGGTTCTTAGGCTGCTGTAGTGTTTCCTGCGCCCGGCTGCGGCTCTCAAAGCTGTGAAAACTACTACGGAATCTCGAGTTACACGATTGCTTTTCTCGTCCTGGCAGGTGGCTTCAGTAAGTTCCAAGCCGAGTTCGCCCTGCACTGCGAGACCAATCTAGACGGCTCGTGTAGCAGCAGCTCGCCGCCGTTGCCAGTGCTGGGGCTCGGGGGCCTGCGGATCAGCTCTGACTCTTCCTCGGACATTGAGTCTGACCTTGACCGAGACCCCAATAGTGCAACGGACTCTGATGGCAGCCCGCTGTCCAACAGCCAGCCTTCTTTCCCCGTGGAGATCTTGCCCTTCCTCTATCTGGGCTGTGCCAAGGACTCCACCAACCTGGACGTGTTGGAGGAGTTCGGCATCAAGTACATCCTGAACGTCACCCCCAATTTGCCGAATCTCTTTGAGAATGCAGGAGAATTTAAATACAAGCAGATCCCCATCTCGGATCACTGGAGCCAAAACCTGTCCCAGTTTTTCCCTGAGGCCATTTCTTTCATAGGTGAGACTAATTAACAGTCCTTCCTCAGACTTTTAAATGCAATTTTTTTAGCCATTCATAGAGTTTAAGCTGTTAATGTTTCTTGCTGCTTACTAACTTGTGGGACTACAGGTATCTAATGTTCAGAGGGCGTTCTTAATTCTGGCTTATCTTTTTGCTAAAAAAAAAAGTGCCTTTTGACAAGATTGCAGCCCACAGGAGTATTTGAAATGCTGTTTCTTGACGCTTTGAATTCACTCATTTGAAAGAGGAGGGGCAGTTCATAAACAGAATTTCCCCACAATCTGTAGACTGGAGGAGGATTAGATACAAGTGCTTGCCGTAAACAGGAATTCTAACATTGCCTTATAATTTTAAAAGACATGGGAGTTATTTTAGGACATCAAGTTAGTTGTTGGAAAGCCCTATGAATGCTAGATGTTGTAATCCAGTTGAATGTTACTGTGATACCGGTTAACAGTGAGACAGTGAAGGTAACCTGAGCCCAGCAGGAAGAACTGTGGGCTGGAAGCCTGGAGAAGCGAATCTCCAGGCATTGTAATGCATTTCCTATTACAAAGGAACTCATTTTCAGGCCATGTCGACATCCTGTTCCTCCTAATGGGCTGTCCCCTGTGACTTCCCTCTCTCTTTTAAAATGCCTGAATACCTCCATTGTTAGCTGCACAACAGTTGGAGAATAATTTAATAGACCCTTGCAATCTGCTTGTCTGTATAAAAAGCATTCAGTACCATATTGCAGGGTTTCTGGTATTCACATGCTGAGGCAAAGAATGCACACATTAAGGAGTTTTTTGTTGGCAGAAACTTAATACAAAAGCTCCCTTTTCAGAAAATATCTGAAATATGTAATTGTGCCCAGTGTACATGTTTTATCGCAGTGATACATTTTCTGCTGCCTGCAGGGCTCAGCTGCCACACACGATTACTTTTTATCTTTTTCTTAATTCATGTTTTTTAGACTGATCATTCACAGAGGGTGGTTTTTCAGTCAACTGAAATCTTGGCTTTTTGTGTGTTTACAGATGAAGCCCGGGGCAAAAACTGTGGTGTCCTGGTGCATTGCTTGGCTGGCATCAGCCGCTCGGTCACTGTGACTGTGGCTTATCTCATGCAGAAGCTCAACCTGTCAATGAATGATGCTTACGACATTGTCAAGATGAAGAAATCAAACATCTCCCCCAACTTCAACTTCATGGGCCAACTGCTGGACTTCGAGAGAACACTGGGACTCAGCAGCCCCTGTGACAACCGAGTCCCTGCACAGCAGCTCTACTTCACCACTCCCTCCAACCAGAATGTCTACCAAGTGGACTCCCTGCAATCGACGTGAAAGGCCCCACACCCCTCTTCGCTGGGAAGTGTCCTTTAGCAGTTTCTCTTGGCAGCATCAGCTGGGCTGCTTTCTTTCTATGTGGCCAGGAGTGTCCACATGACACCAGCTGTCTGTATTAGACAAGGTGACCACGTGTGGAATTGGTTATTACAAAGCGAGAGATTTGCTCCATGCTCGTTTGAAGAACAGGACATGCTGTGTAGATAGATAGATAGATACAGGCAGTAGGCTTGCCCCACACTCATGTGTACAGCCTACCCATGCAGGGAGTGGAATCCAAGGACTTCCAGATAAGTAGGGTAGGACCCAGTGGTAGGTAGGATAGGAGCATGTGTTCTCTAGGGCCATGTATGACTGTTTCCTTTTGCATCTGGAACTGACTATATTGTCTTCAGTGAAGACTGATTCAATTTTGCATATAGAGGAGCCAAAGACAGGTTTCAGCTCTGTATTGGTAGTATCAGTTTGCAAAAAGAAAAGTTAATAATAAATAGATAAAATGAATCTGATACTCCTGTTTGATTATTGTAAATATTTGATCTTTAAATCACTTGGCAATGTTTGTTTGAATTGTTTGTTTGTTTTTCCCCCTTTGGGTTAAAAAAAAAAACATCCAAAGGGAGAAAGCAGTATACCACTTCTTAAAACAAAAAATGGAAACTTTTGCTCTTTTCTAATCCAAAGGATATGTTTGCAGCATGCTTGACTTGACCAATTCTGAATGACATTTTCATGGACAGGATTATCGCTGAGACCTTGTTGTGGTGCAGTCTTCAGTCTCTTTCATGTATCTTCCTTGTGATTTTTTTTTTCCCTCTTAATGTAGTTTGACTATGCCTTACCTTTGTAAATATTTTGGCTTGTGTTGTCTTAAAAGGGGATATATCTTGGAAAGGCACCAAAATCATGGGCTCACTATTTTTTTTTTTTTTAACTTCAGCTGTGCTAAACAGTATATTACCTCTGTACAAAATTCTTCAGGGAGTGTCACCTCTAATGCAATACTTTGGGGTTGGTTTCTTTCCTTTTAAACAATTTGTATAAAACTGGAAGTGTGTGTGTGAGCATGGGTACCCATTTGATAGGCTGAAGTGCATATGATTGTGAAGAACGAGTTAGGTTGCTCCATTATGTTCATGGTGTAAAGTTTTGAGATGAAATTTATTATAAGAATGTAAAACCTTAAATTATTAATAAATAACTATTTTGGCTATTGAATATGTGTCTTTGTGTTTTTAAAATCCTTAATTGTACCTGCATGTGAAGTGACACATTTTAGGTATTTTTCAGTCGGGACTGATACTGGCTTGTAAAAGTACATGTAGAAATATGGCCAAGTTCTTATCTTAAGCTATTCCAAGAATTTTTCAGGTGCAGTTTATGAAATTAAGTCTTTTGCTTCAAATAAAGATGACACCATAGAATGGACTAACTGTATTGTATGTGGACAATACTTTCTATGCATATAGTTCTGGCTTTTTCAAGAAAATTGTAATGCTCTTGAAAAATGAAGCCAGAGGGTATACATTTCTGGTGAGGATAAGATTTATGTATTCATGAATAGTCAGGAGGAGGGGTAGCAGAAGAATAAGGTGACGGCCAGTATTAAACCTCCCTTTCCTTCCCTCTCAGGATCTACTCAAGTATACATATGCCAGGGAGAAAGGAGGGATAATTATTTTTCCAGTCTGTTACTGTTGGGCGATTCTACTTGCAAATTATCCTAGTGTTGGAATAACAAGTGAATCAGGAGTGGTGTCTCCCCTTTCCTTCCTCATGTACATGGCAAAGTATATCCAAGCTTTCTCACTGGAGACTGGATGTGGCTTTAAAATTTCACATCAGCGCTTTACATGAAGATTTGCCACACCTGTGCTAATGTGCTTTGTGCTTAACTGGTTTAGAATGTGGGTCAGAAACCACCATTGAAGCTTATGGAGTTGATTTGAGCAATTTCTTTAAAGGCTTAACCTGTCATTTTCCTTGGGACATATCCCCTTTCCTTGTCCAGAGAGTAAAAGTACACAAACTAAAAAGTAAAAAGCAAGTGTATGAAATCAAAAAGAATTAGAACATACCTATATTTTGTACCCTTCAAATGAACTTCGTACCTTTATCTGCAGTGGGGGAAAAAGATGTTTTTTCACCCACATGAAGTGAGATCCCAGTTGGGATTGTAATCTACATGATAGGAGGCAAGTGGCCCTGATTTTATGGCAATCATATCAAAGTGTCCAGGGTGACTTTTAGCAGCTAAGCATGTACAAAAGGCAGAAATCGCAAGCCAGTCTCCCATTCGGCTGCCCCAAGTCAGCCTAAGCTCAGAAAGGAGAAGTGGGTTGCAGTTCAACTTGGCTCGTGTTAATCCAGTTCTGAACCGTTTCCGCTCCTGGCATTCCCTAAACTGCCTGTTCAAAGTAGGGATTTGCAAGCAGCGTTAGCAATTTCCTGTCCAGCTGCAGCTCAAGTAGCTGCGTGCTTTTTTCCCCCTTTCTTTTTTTCTGGTTTCTTTTTCTTTTTTCCCTTTCTTTTTTCTTTAACATGGACTGTGGATAATTTTAGTGCATTTCCTCTCTGGATTCTCATCTCCTTTCCTCCTAGAACTTGCATACATTGAGTTCCTACTGCTCTGCTCAAGCCGACAGCTGGCCTCCCCAGCATTTCCTCTCGGTTCACTGTGGGTTTGTTGTTTGTCAGTCCACTTCTGAAATTAATAATGTTTTCTGGCCAACTGCCACAAGCCATTACCACAAAGGGGAAGTAACACATATGAATAGCAGGAAGCCATGCCGGGTCACAGTGTGAGATGAACCTGCGGAGGGAACATAATTGAGCCTGGCCCATTCAGCAAGAGTCTGACAGCGATTTGGGGAGAGGGAGCTCCCCGCATTTAAACAGCTCAAGCTGTGAAAAAAAAAAAGTTTCCAATAAATTGGTAGCAAATGGTCTTTGTCATCAGTCTGCATGAAAAAGAGGGAGCAAGAAGAGTTTAGGGCCCCCATAAAGCTGCAATGTTTGGGATTTCCACACCCCTCCCCCCACCTCCTGGCATATTGTTTCATAAGGCTGGTGAACAGAGGGGGGCCTGCTTCCCTCTATTGCCACAAAAGGACTCATGTTAAAAGGGTGGTTTTTACGGTTCACACAGACCAGAAGATTCAAAGAGCTATTCTCTTTCTTTTTCTTCTATGGAAGGTGGAAGGTTGTAACTGACAGCACGGCCCCCCCACCTCGCCCTGCGCCTCCCGTTCTCCTGGCTATCCCTCCGTTCTTTTGGCTCCTTTGTGCTTGTAGGAGCCGCGTGAAGGCGATCATTTTGCATCTTGGAGTTGGGCTCACTTCCTGAATGGAGCCGCGCGGTTACTAGGGCAACCTTTGCCAGCAGCTGCAGCTCCCCAGCCTCCGTCCTCACCTGCTGTCCCCATTAGTGGCTTCCTCAGGTCTCAGAGAAAGCGTCACCTTTCCTGGCCTTCTTCAGGGGCTGGGGTGGGTCTTTCCGGAGAGGAGGTTATCTGCAAATTCCGTGGGGCTGTGGGAGACTTAGGGAATGCACGGGTTAATAGTATAAACTGGTTTTAGGGTTAAAATGAGATAGAGAAAGGATTATCTGGGGATAGAAATACCAGAACAGCCTTCAAAGGAGTGAAAATGGAGACTTCCCTGACCAAACAATTAGGAGACCTGAACTCTAACTTTTGCTCTCTCACTAATGAATGGGACAGCCTTGGGCAAGTCACCCAACCGGGTTTTCTTTTTCTTGTCTATAAAATGAGAGAGTCTTTATCTTTCATTCTACGATTCTTTTTATAATTCCAGCCTTCTGGTCATGGATCAGTGACACTAGATGATAAAATGAGGTGCAGAACAGGTGAAACAATGAACATTTATTAATAGTATCAGATGCTGTGCTCCATGTACAATATTATCTTATTTAATCCTCAAAACAGCTCTGTGAGACAGGTCCTATTATTATCCTTATTTTTCAGTGAGGAAACTGAGGTGGAAAGAGGCCAATAATACCTAAAGTCACCTCATGGGAAGTGGCTGAACTGAGCTTTGAAGCTTTAGCTCTTGTTTTAAACTGCTTGTCATCAGTATTTCTCATCTTTATAAAGTCCTGTGATGTTGGCTAGGAAGTGGTGACCCCGTTTTACAGCTGAGGAAGTGGAAAAAGCAGAGGTTAAGTGACCTGCCCAATCAAACCCAAATTCGACAGCCAAATCATGAGACAGCCAGAGGGCCCCAGCTCGTAAGATGCCAGAGAGATGTCACATCTGTCTGGAAGCTTCCATTCTCCCTCTTCACAGAGAAGTTGCCCGATCTTGGGCTCATGAGCACATAAATTACAACATTGATTTCCCTAAGGATCTCTGGCATGGTTAGCAGCTGTCCAGCTGACCCTGACCAGCGCCCACACTCCCCTTTCAGGATTACACAAGTGAACTGGCCCCAAAGAAATGTACTTCCTCGATTTGACCCTCCAGGAGAAAGGCTGGCGTGGGTGGAGAGAATGGGGTGGGGGGAGAGAGAGAATATACCATGGAGGTCTTCAGAATGACTAGAGATGCAGAACATAGCAAGGGCAGATGATGTGGTAGCTGGCTGTAAGTAAATATTCTTGAAAAGTCAGCTTTCAAAATCGGTCTTTACTAGATGGGAGTGGGGATGGGATGGGGGAGAAGGTGAAGGGATTAGAAAGTGCAAATTAGTAGGCACAGCATAGTCATGGGGATGTGAAAGACAGACTGGGGAATATAATCAACAATGTTGTAAAGATCATGTAAGGTGCCAGGGGGGCACTAGGCTTATCAAGGGAATCATTTCATAGACTATGTAGATGCCTGACCCATGCACTGTGCACCTGAAGCTGAAGTAGAATAATATTGAATGTCAACTATATTTAAATATGTATTTAATTATATATATTTGTATTTATATGTTGACATATAAATATATATTTACACATACGCCACAGGAGGTACAATATAGCATAAGGAAGTTAGTCAATGGCGTTGTAACAGTTATATAAGATGTCAGAGGGGTAGTAGCTTGAGGGAGGGGGGTTATCACTGTGTGAGGGTGTAAATGTCTAAAAACTATGATGTTGCTTTGTACACCTGAAACTAACTAAAAAACAATGCAAAGAAAAAAAAAATCAGTCTTCAGACCTTAGACTGCTTTAAAAAGGATTACTTTGGATAAACAGTTATATGCAGTTCTCCACATAGTAATAATCATTTCCCAAAAGACCCTGCAAATTTTCAGATACCCTGATTCTTGTGTTCTTATCACAATTGGCCCTGAATCAATCCAGTTTTGGTGACAGAATCTTCAAACTTATTTAGTCCAAAATTGATTTCCTAAGAGGATTTAAGGGTACAGGACAAAGTTCAAACAACTCACAAATATTTATTTATCCAGGCCTTGATCTGCATTGCACAGATTCAGTGAAGCAAGGTTAAAATAAAAGGCAATGAAACACTTAACAAGTCCTCAAAGGCAATGTCATGTTTCCAAGTGTAACCTCGTAATCTTTGTTTGTGCCTCAAATCAAAGTGGAGCCTCTAAAACTATTGGCAAGTCCTTGTATGCCCCCAGATGCTGCAACAGTCAAAATAACATTTTAGACACTCTATTTGATTTTTTATATAGGAAAGGATTAATAGCCCACATGTATGCAATTTGACCCACCCACTTCCTTGTTTGGTTATGGAAAATACCATTAGAGAATGTGTGCATATCCACTGCCTTTTAGTGATGAAAAGTTTGGACTACCATACCTCCAAAAATGAATGCTCAGGCACACAAAGGAAAAGAGAGGAAATATCATATATTATTTGAAATGACATCCCAAAAAGCACCAAGCAAGTCTTTAAAAAGTTGCCTCTTCTAGGCTAGAATTCCCCCTTTCCTGACTTTTCATTAGGTCCAGTTTAATCCCTACTATAAATGCTAACAGGCGAAGGAGGAAAGAAAAAGGGGAAGGTACAGGAGGGGATTCTTGAGAACACACAGCCCTCAGGACACTTGTAGCAGGAATGTCCCTTTATCTTCTGCTCTGGTCATTGCTACATAACAAACCACCCCAGAATTTAGTGGCTTCAAACAATCACAATCATTTCTTTTGTTCATAAGTCTGCTTTTGGGCAGATAAAAGCAGAAAAGGCTGGTGTCTGCTCAGTGCTCTCTTGTGTGGGGCAGCTAACTGGAGGCCAGAG